AAGACCAAACCAAAAATGAAGCCATACTTGTACAGGCTTCTGATGGACTCTTCATCATGAGCAACTATGTTGTAGGATCCCAGTTTTTCCCAGAGTAGGTAGTTTGTAGATGCCTGACTAAAGCCAACAGTAGCAGGAACCTTTTCCTTGGCATTCTTGGAGTGTGTACTCCAGAACTGCAAACCATCTTCTGGATAAAGGAAAACAGCATAGGAACTGGAATCAGAAGAGGCTAAAACAGCCTGGAATGTGTTTCTCTGTAGGGAAGATTTAAATTCCATTTACTTATGGAAAATATTCAAGAGTAGACAAAAGGATGACACTTTATAAATCAAAGTCAAGATTTGGATTTAAGCAAGAAGTTGTGCACGATACAGCACTTAAGAGATTTGTCTCAATGCATGGTACTTTGAACAGATTAATGTTTTGCAAAGACTGACTGTGATGTCTAAACAACACCAAAACAAATCTTCCTTACTGCATATAAATTGAAGGTGATCTAAAAAACACATATAGGATACAGGTTTCCCTTGATTTATGTGGGTTCTTTATATCCGAATTTGCTCTTATGCAGTGAGCATATTTAGACCCATAATTTGTTATATGAGAGGTAAATTCACTCTTACGGGATCAGCATAGATGCCCTCCCCTGCCCAAGCAGGTAAGTCTGTGGGGGAAGGGGAAAGGGCCATGGTCCCACTCACCCCAGCCCTGGCTGCAGCGGCCCAGGGACTGGCCGGCGCCAGCTGCCTGCAGCCACTGGGCTGTACCGTGCTTCCCGTCCCCCCCGCACCTGGGCTCTGGGTTGAGTGCTGTGCCCTGCGCCACCTGGGGCTCCACTTGTCCGCACTCACCTCTGGTCCTAGGCTGCATCGTGCCCTGGTGCAGGCAGCTGGTGTCTTCTGCTGCTTCTGGGGCCGCTCCAGCATGGAGCCCCAGGGGCGCGGCACTCGTCCCAGCCCCAGGAGCAGGCAACTCCAGCTACCTGTTGCAACTGGGCTGCACCGTGCCCCACACCTCGTGGGGCTCTGCCAGTCCCCACTCGCCCCAGCGTGTGCTGAAGTGGCTCTGGGAGCAGCTGACACCAGCTGCCTGCACCAAGGCACAGTGCAGCCCAGCTGCTACAGGCAGCTGGAGTTGGCCGCTCCCAGGCCCACTGCAGCCAGGGCTGGGGTAAGTGTTACTCTGTTCTCTCTGGTTTGCTGCCTTGTGCATTCCCAGGAGTGGCACCCTTCCCCTCTCCCCTTTCCTAGTCCCAGCCTCACTCCCTCCCTCCCTGCCATGGGAACCTATCCCTATTTGTTACATTATAAAATGGGTTCGCTTTATGCGAACATGTGATGTGCCTGTGAATCTTGTAACTGGCATCTTAAAATGATAGAAGTATTTGCATAGCCTGGAATATCTAATGCTGTACTTCTACAAAATGAAGCAAATAAAGGCTTGGTTTTCAGATGAGAATGATCTTACATGGTTTAAGTTATCTGATACCACACACAATTTCCAAGTATCACATTTGCTGCGATCAGTTTTCAAAGGCTCAAATCCCAGCTAAAGTTCACCACAGAGATTTAAAATAACTATAGCAAGCAAACACAGAAACTGCCATTTTAAATTTAATGATGCATATTGCAAAAGCTGCTCTAGTGCAATCTATTCCAAGATAGCTTGGCCCAACATAGAGGTAAAGAAACCCAAAGGATGTGATGATTTGTGTATAATGCAGGATCTCTCTTCAGTCCTTGCCAACCAAACAGATTGTTTCTTTTATAAAACCCAACTGATACTAGGTCAGGAGTGTCAAACTCATCTGGGCTGTATTAAGGTTGGTGGGCTGGTCTGCAGGCTGTACTGAGATAGACTATCTGTGCAGCACCTGCAGTGCACACTGGACTCAGGGTTCACTGTGCATACAGCATATGGGGCCAATGAGGGGTGTGTGCTGCCTCTGTTGTGCGGGTGGGACCCCACGCTGCAGATAGCACAGGGGGTCAGTCCAGGGCGCTGCATACAGCCTGCTCTTCTAGACTCCCTGTGCCACATGCAATGCTGGGTTCAGCCCATGCACCATGGGCAGTGCGCACCCCATGCTGGCCCCACATACTGAGTGCCAATGAGCCCCAAGACTAGCGTGTGCTGTATACACAAGGGATGGGATCTAGGGCATGGGCAGGATATGGCACCCTGCTGGACCAGCTCTGTGTGCCAGCTCTGGCATGGCCTGATCCAGACAGGACCTGGAGACAGTGTGCAGTACCAGTCAGGTGGGACACTGCATGCAGCATGCACCCTGGACCCATCCCTGGTGCTGCATGCAGAGCACGTAGTGCAGTGTCCAGCCCGCTCACCACATGCAGGGCCAGGGCTGGCTCATGGGGTCAGTTCAGTGATGTTCAGGCCAGATCATACAGCTCTACAGATCCAGCCTGTGGGCCGTATGTTCAACATCTCTATTCTAAACCAAAAAATTAAAATGAAAGAATTCAAAGGTACCACAACAGACCAGATTCTGAGAAGACAGAATCAGAAGATCTGGTGGTACTGCATTAGATTCTATCCAATTAGTGTTTAAATCCAGAAAGAAGGGAGAGTATCTAATTATCTCAGTGAGTTTTGATCTTAAATATTTATGCTCTGGACTGCCAAGCAGTAGCAGGATGTTGGAAGAATAGTATTCATTTATATGCAGAGAACTTCCATGCCATTGCAATTACAGTCCCTGCTTGGGAAGTGCTCTTAAGAAGGCCATTTCCCTGTTCTGAGCTGTTCACTGCTGTCACAGTATAGGCCCCACTATAAGCAATGTGGGTGCCATTGTTGTGCCCAGTCAAACACAAGAAATTGATCTTTGACAAAATAAGACCCTGGCCATGCAAAGATATAGACATGTTAATAACTTTACGTATTTTAAGTAGACCCACCCTTGTGCTCAAGTGTGTTCAAAATATTTAGAAGAGGGGGTCTGATGGAGGGTTTATGGTCTGATAATAAGATACAGAGCCATGCCTTCATTAAGAGATTGGTAAAGAATTGACTAAGGAAAACTAGATAAATTGATTTCTAATGAATGAGTTGTGACACACCAAATTAGGAGGAAAAAATGATTATTCCCAATAACTAACAAATTTTAAGTGCTGTAAAATTAAACATTCCAAGCATATTTTTGTTAATTAAAATGTAAAAATAATAGACTGAGTCCCTTCTCCCACCGCAAGACAAATTGTGTCCATTTCCAAATAGATGCAAGGAAAATATTCCCAAATGTTCCTATAACTGTTTCATGATAAACTAAATTGCACGCACCACAATAATCCAGGCACTCCTGAGTTTCTCATAAATGCTATGCTAAGCAGATAAAACCAGGCAGTGAATTATTTAAAACACAAATATTTTCTCTTGAAAGTATAAAATATTACATTTATGTGGCATACAATTTCAATAAAATAACTGTTTTACCACGTTTCTTGACAAACAAAAAGAAAGCCTGTTTACAAGCTGTAGAACATAGACACTTAAAAGCAGCAGGCTGTGGAATTATTCTTCTATTAAACTCAACTTATCATAGAACTCTGCCCAATATTCACCTTGTCTTCCAGAATAGCATCTTCACTAGGAGTACGGTAAGGAGCCACACGTGCCCAGGTAACAATGACAACACTAATCGGATCAAAAGCGACTTCTGGAAAACCTCTTTGGATATAGCTGACAGCAAGCTGCAAGACATCAGGGGATGAATCTTCTCTATAAAACACCTTCCCATGTCCACCAGTAGTGTCCAGATCAGCCATAAAAGGAGCAATAGCCCCAAAACTTATTGGGAATTGACCAAGGTATTTTTCTTCTTTTGACGGTTTGTTCATTCCAATGATTCCATTAGTGGCAACCTAATACAAAGGATAAAAATTACAGAGAGTAGTAAGTAGTGTTTGCATGACTGTTTCCCATCTTTGTGTTCCTCTTCACAATGTTTTGTTTCATTTTTAAACCTTCTGAAGTATTTCTAGTGTCCAGACACCTAATAATCACTGAAGCTAAAGTTTTTATTTGTGCGGTAATTGAAGATTAACAGGCTTTTTACATCCAATTTATGGATCTGAGCTTCACACAGAGCATAAGTAGATGAAATTAACTGAATATTTTTCTCTATTAAGAGTAAGATGCTCAATAGCTATAATGCAAAGGTTGCCACAGCTCTCTCTCCATGTGGTCAACCTGTACATAAATCAACATATCTCATAGATTTCAAAACACTGTGAAGCATTACAGGTCAAAACCCAATATATTCAGATTCTCAAGAATGTTGTATGGATCCCTTACATCAGAGGTGTCATGCTTACCTGGCCCCCCAGGTTGCATATGGACTGAGGGGCTGCTTGGGGTGGAGGGCAGATGCTGACCCACTTCTAGTGGCAGGGCGAGTGCTGCTGACACTCACCCACAATGCAGCTCTAGACCTCAGACTTTGGCAGCAGGTCCTGTCCCTGCTTGCCCTTTCCCCAATTTCCAGGCTCCACTGGTCAAATGACACAGCTCTGCAGGCCATGCGTTTAATACTGCTGCACTGGATGACAGAGTTACTAGCTTTTTTGCAGTTATTCTCATGTAAAATGTTTTTAATAGAACAGTGCTACTCAGGATGACAGGAGTAAAATTAATATTAAAGTACAATTATTTAAAACAAATACTTAGGACAGTTAGTTTGTTGGCCAGTTAAGTGGTCAAATTCTTACTGAAGTGTTGTTGCACTGACTCCAAAAGAGCTACATTGATTTATACCACCTGAGAATCTGGGTTTGTCATAGCAGTCAAAATTCAACTTCTTATATTTTGTCTGCAACTTGCAGTGGCTGGAGAATTTGACATAAACTATGGATTTTGAATATATGGCCACTAGAAAGGCTATTCAGATAGCTGAAACATCATCAGGATAGAAGGTACCAAACTTATATAAATCAAAACTAGTCAAAACTTCAAGGAAACTACCTTTTCCTTCCTCTAATCTTTAGGGCTAGGGACAGAAGTTACACAAACTGGTTTAAGTCATTAGAAACTGGTTTAAACCTGTAACAGAGCATATGTTCTGTGCACATAAACCAGTTTCAAAATGGCTGAAACTGGTTTAAGATAAACCTGGTTGAATGTAGTATCAGCCTTAACTGATTTGGGTCAAACCAGTTTATGAAACTTCTGTCCCAGACGCCTTCCTGGTTCAAGTTTAATCACAGTCCCCCAGTATCCCAGCACACTTTCCAGCCCTGGGTTGTGCTGTGCTGTCTGCTCCAGCAGAGAAAGGTTGGAGAGGGGAGGGGGGCAGTGAATGCCTCACCCACAGGCAAAATCCAACTGGGGTCTGGGGCTAAACCCCACTTCCACTGAGTACAGAGCTGCCCTGCCCTCCTAAAAACTTACTGCTGGCTGTGATTGTGGAGTACAAGTCCCAGAGGTACCTGGAAGCAGGAAGAGGAAGTGATTAGTAACCCTGCAGAGTCCTACTGTTGTGATTCTGGACTGCAAATCCCAGAGACACTGGGGGCTTCAGGAAGAGGAAGCAAACACACAGACCATGCTGGCTATGTGCCAGACAGCCATGCTCTAGCTTCTCTCGGCTTCTGGCCTGAGCCACTGCAGGCATGTGGCTGCATTTCCTGAAGCAAAAGTGAATCTATCCAGTTGTTTCTCAATTTAATCTCTGCAGTTTAGACTAACCTGCAAAGACTGAGTTGATTCAGCCTCTAGCTTTCTGACTGTCTGTACTTAGCCAAGATGCTTGCTATTGAACATTAATTTCATAGTTTGAAAACATTTGAGGTAACTGTCAGGCTAACTGACAGTTGTTAAATTTTCACAAAAAAACAAACATTTTCATTTAAACATTACTTAATGTTTGGTTTCAAACTGTACAGCGAATAAACGCCAGAGCATTTAAAAAAAATGATCCTAAAAAAATTACCCAAAACTGACCTGTCCAGGCTCACTTTACAGAGTGAGCCAAGTACAAATAACAATATGCACTATAACTAATGAACAGCTCTTCTTTTTAATTTCCCTAATTAATAACCTAATGTATTTGTAGTGATGTAGATAAAATTTTTTTTACAATATGGCTATATCTTCATTATCTTTTTTAATCTCATATGAAATCATGCTTAATATAAATGTGAATGAGTACAAGCCCTAAGATGACTACTGCTTTGTTTTATTAAAAGTAGTATCCTTACATAAAAAGAAAAAAAAAGTGGCAGAAAGGTGCTATATAAAGACACCAGCTGCACCATTAATCTTTGCCTTTTGTGATATAACCGTTTAAATTGATAGGAACCTACCACAAATGTTTTTAGCACTTTAAAGTTCTCCATTATACAGATAGTTAAGTTACATTTATGGTCAGTAGTAAAACATATCACACAGTATTTATATAAGTATGTCTCAATTGGCTGGAATGATTTACACAGGATGATCCTGCCTTGAGCAGAGGGTTAGATTAAGTGACCTCTTGAGATCCCTTCTAGCCTGAAATTCCCATGATTAGTCATATAGGGGCAGGAAAGGAAATAAAGCAACCCCGAATACCTCTACAGAGTCAAAATTTCACACAAGCAGGGGATTTTTTCAGTGCAATTACTGGATATCATGAGAACATTAGGGAATTTGGGATAATTAGGTTTGTTTATATAATTGAGTACCAGTATAGTTAAAGCAGCAAACTTCTTAAACTAGGAAGGCCAAAATTAATAGTATCACTTAAAACATGTTCACAACTGAAACTATATACAAACTGACTTATGCTCAATTAAAGGACTGTAACCCCTCCCCAAACAGTGAAAAATCCCATCAGAACCCTCTAAATTAGAGCCCCCTGTAAGTGTTATTCTAGTTCTTAAAGGCCCACCTCTGGAAACTACATTATTAACAAAACTGTAGTCCCCTTGATCTACCCCTGACTCTAGCTGATTTGCTATAACACTACAATCCTACGTAGACAAGGACTTAGAATGTACTAGTCCAGGGGTGCTCAACTCCCGGCCCACAGGCGATATCCAACCCAGGGTATTCAGCCTTCGGGGATCCCCACAGGTCAGGAAATATGGCAGCAGGGGAGCAGTGGCAATTAATAACCCTCCTCCCTGCCAAATAATTGAGCACCGTGTGTCCAGATACAGCCCCTCCTTCCCTACACATTTCGTTTGGGGCTGTGAAGCCCAGTTACAGACTGAATGAGGTCAGGTCACTCCCTGCCCCCCTGCACAGCCAGATTGAGCAAGACCCAGGCAAGACCTGGGCCTTTCCCATGTCCCTGCCTCCACCATGACCACACTCACATACATATGATTGTCCACCACCACCCGATACTGAAGAAAAACAAATCAAAACAAATTCAAACCCTTGACAGATGGCCGTGCCCTGAAAGAGGAGGCCACAGGCAGCCACAAACATCCCCCTTTTCCTTGCCAGCATCATGTACAGCCCCAGAGACACAACAAAAGCCTCCAGGGCTGCTGGCTTCTTTGTGCTCAGGCCTCAATGGTCTCAGCTGCCTCAAAATTCAAAAAGAACAAAAAAAAGCCATTTTGGCCCCACCAATTTCCCCTACCTCAGAGACACTCCAAGTGCTCTGATTGAAGCACGGGCCTAAATTTGGGACTTGGCTGAAGCCTGCAACTTTCCACCCCAGAGCCTTGCCACTAGTCCAACTGGTTCTGGGGCCTATGGCAACTTCCATATGCTGTGGTGAAAATAAAATATTCTTGCACACCCGTCCAGGGCACACACCTAGCTTTGAAATATACAACCATCTGGCCCAGGACTCAGCAGACAAGCCCCTAACATACACACCAAGGGCAACACCCAGGCCTTTCCCACATCCCTGCCTACACCATGATCACACTCACATACATATATGTTTGCCCACTACCACCCCACATAAAAAAAAAAAAAAA